CACAGATTTTTTTACCTTGTGAGATAGATAGGATTTTATAATCCCATGACCAAAGATGTCAACTAAATTTTGATACTAAAGAGCAAGACCACATTTGCCAAGAAAATCAGCATGTAGCTTGCCTGTCACTAAGACTTTCCCCAAAGGACTGTAATTGGATGTTAAAAAAATACTCACTTTACGGGAGTATGATGATTTGTGGATCACAGAAGTGCCCAAACCAGCAAAAGGGTTAAGGAGGTTGTGGTAGAAGTAAACCACCATGTTTCTTGAGCACAATTCATTATCCTCACTCCAACTACTTGTATTTTCAGGAAGACGGCAAATAGAAAGATGCCTGTGTTACCAAGCATCAGAAACCCACTAGGACCAAGGGTTGTCTGAGAATGTTAGTCTGACAGTATGGCTTTACAGACAAAAACATTGTGATGTGTATCAAAAGATTGCAAAGGGATAACGGCTCTGCCAAAATGAAAGCCAGCCCTCACAGATGTGAAGCACAACAAGCTGGAGTGATTCAATCCATTCCTATAAACAAGATGCAATGGAAAGAGGTTGCATAATTAGCCCATTGCCCTAATAAACAGTATTTAATATGCCATCTATTTAAAATTACACTGCTGTCAAAAACAGCATTTTTATTTCTCATTTAAATTTTGTTCAAAGCAAATAAAGTCCTGTCTGCGGTATTGCCCTAGGCAATAACATTAACAGTTCCAAATGTGGGGTTTTGCGGCTTGATTTACAATATTATGGAATGACCAACATTATAGTGCTTTTTTAGTGACCTGGATACAACTGAGAAACACCCAGCACTCATCTGGAGCAGGGAGCAACAACGACTTAACGCTCTCCATGGCCACCTGGATCCTGTTAAGTGCAGGCATAAATCAAAGCAACCTTCACATGACAGAGGCTTGTCCAGGCTGAGACTAGGTCAGATCCACTCCTTCAAGCAAACTAAAACTGAACTGTAAAAAGTTGTGGTATTATGATTTGCTTTGTAGCAGCTCCCAGAATCATTTCACTATGCAAGCAGAGGAAATCGCAGTCTAGAAGAGTCAAACTTGTCTTCTTTCCTGTGCTTTGGACTCATCTGAGCCTGTATCCAAATTTCTTGGACAAGTTTGGCCATGAGCACAGGCTTGGCCTGTACTTCAGCTGTAATATTGGCACTGCCACAGAGGACAAAAAAAATGCCTATTTTCACACTACAAACTGGTGGCAAAGCCAAGGACAGGACTCAGGTGTCAGAGGAGTCAGTTACAGGGAGAACAGTGTTGCCAATTAGATAGATGTGGGCCTTTCAGATGAGATTGAGTCTGAGATGAAGATTTCTGCAGATGATAGAACTTCAACATAACAGCTCTCTACATGGAGGAAAGCTAGTTAGGAACCACTTGGCAATTACACGCTTTTTAGTCTTCCCTAACCTATCCAAGATAGACTGTAATAAACACTCATTTGACATATATATATATATTTCATTTAGAGTAGTAAATATTTATACTTCTAGAGGTCCAGAGCTTAGCAGCACTGAATAATCGAAGTTATTCCTGTGTGTACTGGCAGTCTTCACCTACCCTAATGATACCACATGTTTACTTCAGCTCTGACATGCAAGACCACCCTTCCATATTTATCCTTCATTGTGGTCATGATGTGAGTGGAGAATACCCATCACTCCAAACTGTGCAGAGCTTGTAGTGGGGCTTGTCTTGAGGTGACAGCTGTCCTCTGCAGTGAAGGAAAAGATTCTCTATAGGTGGTCTCTAAAAAAGGTACATTTTGTGGTAGGAAGAAGTATGCTTGGCATTTTTCATATTCAAATGGACAAAACTGTGGTTGAATTTGTGTACAAAAATGACAAAGTGAAATGTAGGAGCAACAGGTAAAACTACTGAAAATAAAGATGTAATTCACCTTTAACACATTTTCTTTCTTCACTGTTGGTGGAAAAATGCTAAGAATTATCTGTAAAAATCCATTAAGAAATCTGTCCCCTGATATGGAATTCTACTTTATTTTTTATTGGCTCCTATGTAGTCCTTATCATCAGATTATAAACCATTTCACTTCTGAAATATCGTAAAATCACTGTCATTAAAGCCCTGGTAATTAAAGCTTGTTTGAGATGGAACAGCCACAGAGTTTGTCATCCACATGAGAAAATTCATTCAGTTTTGATCAGAAACTCTTTCCAGATACAGGCAGCTGAAATGTCATAGAGACAATCTCGAGGCAATCTTAATTCATGTAACATTGATTCACTCAGGAGCTCATAGCTCAAAATAGTCTTTGATGGCAATAGCTTATCTCCTCAAATCTGATAAAATCTGAGGACAGATGTATTGCTGCAATTAACATAAAGTATATACTGCAGAAAGCAAAAAGGAAAATAACTAGGCTAAGAAAACACTCCCTCACGCCGCCTCTCTTACACTGTACATAGCCAGGATCCATGCTAATCGTGGGACTCACAGGTAAGCTCTGAGGAAAGAAATGTATAATGGGAAGCTCCTCATCATGTCTGAGCTCTTTCCAGAGATGATTTTTTTTTGCAGCCTATGTAGCATCTGTCACCAGTCTCTTCCCTTATCTCCTCTTGGGGCAGAAAGCTCTGCTGTGGCCTTGTGTTTTATGAGACCAGAGGCAAACTTGAAGCTTTGGACTGTATTTCTAAACTGCTGGTTCAGTTTGAGTTTGCTTTGTATTTTAAAAGTCCAGGCATTTGGGGAAGAAACTGAGGACATCTGTGATGAGCTGGCTGTCCTGCGGAGAATCATCCCATCTTTGCAGACCCTGCCGAAGGAAGCTCTCTGTTGTCCTACACAGACAGGTCTGGCAGGGACAGCGTCCTGTGGTGTGGGAATTATCACTCTTCATTTTTGTATGTTGAGTATCCCTGCACAGGATATTGGTCTGAGGTTTGGACTTGGGGAGAAGGTGAAGGAAAAGTGAGTTCAGGAACTATATTAAGACTATAACAACAATCTTACCAACACAAAGAAACACAAAGAAGGAAAGCATAAAACATTATCCAAAAGCCAAATGATAATGTCTTCTCCAATGCCAAAATTCTTTAAAACCTCTTCTAAGAATAGTCAGCAATGGCCAGAAACTGTTTTTTGGAGCTATCCCTTAAAACCACGTGTACACAATCAAACCAGAATCAAAGCAGAAGTTTATGCTCTGTCTAGATAGCTTGACAAAAATAACATGAGGGTGAAAATGACCAGCTGAAGGTTGTTTGTGCCACACTATGTCATGTGGAAGGACACAGCAGGAGAAGAGGTCCTGCTTCTCATGTGTTTTTCTCATCACCAGACAAAATTCTTTCCTGTTAGGGTGATGAGACACCGGAATGGGTTGCCCAGGGAGGTTGTGAATGCTCCATCTCTGGCAGGGTTCAAGGCCAGGTTGGACGAGGCCTTGAGTGAGATGGTTTATTGCGAGGTGTCCCTGCCCATGGCAGGGGGGTTGGAACTTGATTATCTTAAGGTCCTTTCCAACCCTAACTATTCTATGATTCTAAAATGGGGGCTATTTTCAAGGAAGTGTCTATTCAAACAAAGGTGGGAGAGGGGAACTTGAAATCACATGGTAATTCCATAAAATTTCTCAGGTGCCTACCTTGGCACTGGCCCAGTGCCAGTCAACAGTTGAGGGCTGTTTAGCATAGCTGGTTAAAACCTGGAATTTCTCCTTGAAGCCAGGGATATTCAAATCTTCTGATTTTATTTTTTTTTTTTGCTCATGCCTTACCAGAAAAATAACATGAAATGTTGAGATTTCCTATGAAATAGAAATCCTGAGTGATTTTGTTCGGATAGCATCAGAACATCCTATTGCAAAGATTGTTTCAACCTGCCTGCAATCTTCACACGGTCACGATGTTTCACTTCCATGGAATTGCTTGGAGTTTTATAAAAACACAAATTCAACAGGAATTTTTGAGTGAAAATATAGTCTTCTGTTTCCATCAGAATAGTGGCTTTCAGCAACTCCCCCCCTGAAAAACTATTACTTTGGCCATGGTTTTCCTTCCCTGAATAAGTATACTGTGTTGGACGATTTCCACAATCTCAAGTCCATTTCCAGTCAAGCCTGTGAAGAGAAGTTTTGCGAGTGCTTACAAGTTTGCCGGAGCCATGCCATGGACATATCATTACTGTTCCAAGCTGTTTAATCTTTTGTCTAAATATAAATAGATGAGTGAATATCAGTAATTTCCTCTGTCCCTCTAGCTGTTTATCTGCACAAGGGAAAGCTTTAGGATTAGGGCCAGTCGTTGGGGCTGTTTCCAGGCTATCTGTTCAGGAAGGCTCATGAGCTGTTCAAAGATAACACCCTGCTCCTATTTGGCCTGATCAGCCACGCTCAAAAGGGTACCCCACACCAAACCACAGCAGTGATTTAAAGAAACAACAGCTCAGCTGCTCTGTGCCTTGCTGCTTCTGGTGCAAAATCGGAGTTTTCTCATGAGGCTGAACTGACTAAAAGGGTCTCTTTTCTTCCACTTGGCTGCTTGAGCCAACCTTCCTTTTCTTTCATTCCCTCCTGATTTGGAACCTACTGGTGAGCAGAAATCACCTTTTCTCCATTGACCTGACTAGCACAGTAAAACCTGAAGCTGTGGTTGTCTTTCTGTAAGACACATGTCCTGGAGTTTCACGCCAGTTGACGGGAGCTTTTGCTCATATTGGCCATAGTCACTGCTCTTATCTTTTCTCCTAAGCGTTATCAATATTTTTCTTTTCATCAAATGGCTTCTTTTTCTCTTTCTTGATCTCTGGTGGTTCACTCGCCTACCAAATATGCAGCAAAAGCTCAAGCATTCACCCTGATGATCTTGGATCCATATTTCTTCCCAGTCCCACCACTCTCCTCATATGACCCCAGTTTCTGCTTTCCCCATCCAAGTCCTATAGCTAAAAAAAAACACCATCATTGCAGTGGCTAGCTGACACAACCAGATAAAAATGACACAGCTCATAAGGAAAACTTGGAAGGCAAGCCCTAAAGTTTGGATTGTACTACACAGGGAGTTAAATATTATAAAAAAAAAATGTACTCTGTCCAATAAAAAGGTTCCTATGGGTTCTTGTTACCCCCGTAAGGATTAAAACCTGTGCTTAAGCCGGGCAACTTTCCTGCTTGATCATGCCATAATTTAGAAGTTTGCTGAGCTACAGCTATTTGCAGTTGTTAGACTGAAACGTCCTTTCATCTCTGCAATCTCATTCAGTCCCCTAGCATTGTGGGGATGCAGGCAAACCACTATAAATAACTGAGCCTTTTCATGTCAGCTGGTACAAATACCAGCCACTTCGAACAATCTGACCTTTCTTGGGGATCTGACCGATCTGCAGTGGAAGACGGCTAATATCTGTCAGGATCTTCCATGGTTAAGGTATATATAAGAATTGCTAGCTGTTTGTGTGAACTCCAAACGCTTTCTGGCTTGTTTAATCTGGCTTTGTTCTGTGGTTAAAAAATGAAAGTAACGTCCCAGTTAATGATTTTTGATGAAACCCATTATTCTCACAGCTATTTTCAAACACCATGGAAGGCAAATAGATCTAACACACCTACAAGACTAATATTTTAATAAACTAACAGACAGTGGTCCAAAGCCATGGTATTTTTTTTCTGAACTCATGTTTTTAAATGAAACTCTGTGAGGTTACCTTGGCATTCCTCTGCTTGAAGAAAGCAAAACCTAGAAAATAAACTGCTGTTGGTGTCTCCTCGAGTTCATCTTCAACTTCATAATTAGCAAAAGCTGATGAGGGATGTTACTGTAGAAAGTATTAAATGATTATGAGTTTTCCCTTTCTTCCACACACCTGTTAAATGGAATGTGATAATGCCTCTCTCTTATTAATATCTTATGAGAAAAGTCAGAGGGGATGTATCTTTGATCAAGAGCTATCCATTTTTTACTTACTTCTATACTTTATTCTGGAATATAGGATTAATCTTGCCTCTGTGAGAGACTGAAAGTATTGACCTTGTTCTTAGTCACTGTAACCAGAAAGCTGATGAAAAAAGAATATGGAAATAGAACATGGAAAATAGTCTAGACTATTTTAGCTTTGCTAGAAACTTTACTGAGATTTCAAGAGGGCTTTTTGTGTCTGACATCCCCATCTTCATTCACACTGTAGCTGAGAGGTTCACCCCCAGCTGCCCCATTTATAGGAAGCATAGAAAAAAGGATCACAGTTTTCACCCACAGGGAGAAACAGCTTAGAGAGGTAAACCTTGGAAAAAAAGTTAGTGTTCAGAGTGTGGGGCACTACCTGGCAGGAGCAAGAGTGGCTGTATCTAGCTCACCAGATTTGTTAGGTTTCTTAAGCCACTTTGCAATCCCTCAGGAGCATAGTGCATCCCAACTATAGACGGTCATTTGTTTCAAGATAACAATTTTCCAAAATATATAGAGAGAGCAGAAATGTATATTGATCTAAAATACATTTCAGACTTTTACCATGTTGTTTATTGGTGTTTTTCTCTTTCTTTTTGTCCTTTTGCAGCTTAAAGACAAGTTGCCTTTATTTATACTTAGTTGAGAAGCTATGTGCTTGAGGAAAATACTTAAGAGCACAGGTCCTCATTCTGTAGGATCAATATATCTGATCTGGGGCTGCAAGATGGATTCCCTATCATATCCTTATACCAGCTCTCAAGCTGCTTAAAAGAAAGCAAAGCAGTGCGATAGTGAGAGTATTTGCTTACTTGTTGTTGCAGTGTAAAGCTGGAGATAATTAAATTATTGCCACATTATCATAGTGCATGCAAAATCACATTGTCTTCAAACAAGTAGATGGTGATGTGAAATTTGAGGAGCAATTCAGTGGTTTAAAAATACAATAGATTTGAGGGACATCAATAAGGAAAGATGAGAAAGGACCACAGGGAAGAGGATCAGCTGGAATACTTCCTCACCTCCCTGCATTGCTTTCCCTGCTCCCTAGAATGAGCAGGGAGCAGGGAAAGTTCTCCCACGGATCTGGAAAAAACAGGGAGCTCCAACTCTCCACTGAGCTGGGCAGTCCACTGCCAACACAACCACTTAAATCTTAGCTCAGCTCTTCCCATTGAAGCTGAAGGTGCTCGCAGCTATGTATTGTGCTCTAGTGAGTGGCTGTGTTTTCATGCTTGCCCCTTCACAGAGAATAGACAAAATTTCCAGGCAGATTTCTCACAGACTGTGCTGCTGCTGCAGCTCAAGCCAGCAGCTGTAGCAGGGAGCACAGAGCAACCCCATGACCAGCATTAGCAGTGCTCACTCTATTAAAGACAGCCCTCAGAAAATGAGAGAGTTACTGAATGTCAATTAAAATGCTTCAGTGATTTAAGTGGGCAACTTCCATGCAACGCTTTGTAACACTACACCCCTCCGTCTTCCGTTAACGGCACTGCTCTTACAGCAGCCCCTAGTAGGTGAATTTATGCAACAGCATTGACAGTGACCTTAAGGAGCGTTCATTAAACTATTCTCCTTGGCTGAAATTCGTAACTCTATCTGCTTCCTCTGCAGGAGAGGATGAAACAAGGAGAGGACGGAAAGAACAGCTCATTGACCACCCAGAATGAAGGAAGATCCTGAAATAATTTTGTTAGCCTTGATTGTTCTTGGAGCACACAATAGGAGAAAAGGAGATTAAAAGTTAAAAAAGCAGGAGCTGTGATACCTGCAGTGGCTAAGAGTCTACTAGTATCTAACAGCAGGCAGAGGGATCTGACAAAGTGGGCAGCATTCTGTAGACTGATGTGGCTCTGAGTGAAAGCGATGCTCCTTTGCTGCCACTGCTGTCCCAGCAGCCCACTACCAGACGCACCACCAGCACCCACCATGCTGAAATGCAGCAAAGGGTTGGGAAGTGACATCCCAGCAACCAGCACCACCCTAGTGAACATTTCGACAGCTGTGCCTGTTAACGTATGGGAAAGGGTGACTTTTGTCACTTGTCGCATCTCAGGCACGCTGCAAAGTTCAGCTGAAAGCTTTTAATGGTCCCTTGATGCTGAGCAGGCAGATACTGAGAGATAGAGAGCATAATAAACTTTCAGTATATGATCTAACTGTGTAACACATCAAATGGGTATCTTAACTGTATCCAATGGAGCTCAATGGAAACAAACACACCATTTCAAACCAGACCACACACAGCAAGATAATGCACATGACTAATTTTGATGACTGATTTCATATAAATAATGCACCAAGACTCCTAGATGCACTATAATATCTCTTCATTCCACTCCTTTAATTAACTCCTCATTGAGACTCCAACTGGAAGTGGCTAATAAAGTGTTTGCTTTTTACTGCTTAGATTAAAAGTACATCTTGTCCTTACCGAAAGCAGTGAAAAACTGCATGAAACTTGGGTAATAACCTGCCTCAATGCCATTTATAATAATGTCGGCATTATAGCTCTTAGCTGGGTGGCAAAGGAAGAAATAGCAGGTGTAGATAAGGAGTGGGAAGAGTACAGTATTATGGTCGCTACATGTTGTAAATTGCTATGGGAACCAAACAGTTTTGTTCTAGATCAGTTTTACCACCTACACGAAAGGAGAATAAGACATAGATAACCCTACAGCTGAGTTCTGTTCTGATGTCTGGCAATGTTTAAATGAACTCATGAAGGAAGTGTTGAGTAGTGAAAGACAAATGACCTTTTCCATCTGGGAAAGGTCTTAAAATCTTAAAGCTGCAATGCCTGTGTTTATCAGGAGAGAAAGAAGGAAAAATGCAGGTGAGGAAGAGAGAAGCCAAATCCTCACTATCTGAATTCAAAGAGAATGGCAGGATTTAAAAGAGCTTGTGACCTTCAGGAAATTGATCCTGGTGTTGATGGATCACTATATATAGGACACAAACTATTAGGTCAGCTGTCTCCTTTTCGCTGAAGAAAAGGTAAGGTTTCCTACCCCTCCAAAGACAGAAACTTTAAATGGCTTTGAATTAAGCTATTTTAACACTTATTACACCATTTCCAAGTATCTTCAAACTATTTTGCAAATAAAGCAGACAAGTAGGGCAGATAAGTCCTCCCAACCTGTCATTACTGATGGAAAAACTGATACACAAAGATGTGACATGACTTGTCCCGAAAAAACTCCCTAAGAGGGACTCTCATCATTTGCTTCTCAGGTATGTGATTAACCACCAACCACCTTTCCCTTTTAACAGGTTTCATCAGCTTTCACACTGGAACTGTGCAAAACCACAGATTTTAAGTATTTTTATACTAAGCTATCAGTTAGTCCAGGTTTACGCAAAACAGTGCCCAGGATCTCTTTATAGGTCTATAAACCTGAAAGGACCTATTTGTGATCTTGGGCTGAGATTCAAGTTTAAAAAAAACAGTGAAACTGGGGCCATTTTTTTCATTACTTCCAAGCTCATAGTTCCCATATTCTACATCTGAATGTGCCTGAAGGGCTTGCATGGAAGGCAACTTGCAGATTTCCAAGGCTTTTTTTTTCAGCCTTGATGCCAAATTTCAACTGTACTCTATTGAGGCTGGCAGCCCCTCAATGAAGCATTCGTAATATTACCATCACAGATACCATTTGGATTGGACCTTCCAGGACACATTAGCAATCAAAGTCCCATTTGCAAAATCCATCTGTAATGTGTATTGCCCCTCTATCATACCATGGTGTAGGAGAGCAACATATTATAACAGCAGTATCAAAGCTGGATAGGGGAAACTAAAAACAGCAAACAGAACAAGAAAAAATAAATAATGAAAGGATTACCAACTGTATGGAACATAAGTTCACTATGACTGTGGGAAAGAATTCATAATCCCAGGTTTCATTCAGGCCATTTCTGGGAACAAAGGCACCTGTATTAAAAACAGTTTTGTTGGTTTTGGCAAAGTTTGATCAAATAGAAAAGAAAAGAATAGAAAGGATAGTAGAAATCTGATTATCCCTGGCCATGTAAGTCTAGGTGCTTCGTACATCCTCTACCCTTTCCACATGCTCTTTGGCATGACCTGATATTCTTTGGTTTTGCCCTACATCTTTTTGATTGAGTGAAAGCTTAGATCTGAAAATAGCCTTGAGATGGTAATAGTATGAGCATGAGAGAGCATTCTGTAGTTGGAGTGAGCAGGCTTCACAGGGGCAGCCCTCCTACCTGCCAAGTCTCACCACAGTCTCCTGTCCCCTGGATCCCTTTGGATCCCACTCTGAGAAAAAAATCGGTCACATGTTCAGTTAATTTTAAACTAAAAACCAACCAGAAGACAACTAGGGTTAATAGCACTCATTTAAATTAGAAGTTCGCCCATATATGGGAAAAGTCCTTGGCAGGGTTTCTCAGCAGCTGGAAATGCACATAACTCCTCTCAGTCCATAGGCTGTTTTATAGTAGCTAAGCACCTTCCT